AACAATTGCATAAATCACTCCTCGAACAGTGAGGGGGTCCATACCTGGCTCAAGAGGTTGTTGATCAACACCTCGCAATTGTCACTCAAACCGCTCGGCCTGCACAACATTGTTAAGATGACGGAGTTGTTTCTTGCGCCACCTTCCTGCAGAATACAAGTTAGTATTCCACTCCAAGTGTGCACGCGAATCTACACGATGAGATACAGATGTCTGGCGGTTCGACATGTGAGCATAAGCAAATGGGACAGCGTGACCTAGAGGAAAGCTTGGTATAGCACCTGCCATGCCACGTTGATGAAGTTGAGCGCGAGCTGCCCCCATTCCCGTATGCCATAACAGCCCACTTGCACGCTATGGGAAAGAGGCAGAGTGAAGGAAGAGGTGTCAAACAGAAGGAAGAGAGGAGCAGAAAAGGAAAATTGATAGGCAGAGGGATAAAAAAATAAAAATAAAAAAAGTGACACAAAAATCTCCGTTCTTTTACTGCATTCTTCGTTCTTTCACAGTTTTGCAGTTTTGCGGAAGAGTCTACCACGTTCGCTATCGATTTTCCTTCTTCACTTTTTATTCTCATTTCCACCCTTCGGACTTTTGTTTGAGGGTGTTAGGGTGCAGGGTACAAACAAAGTAAGATGACACAAACTTTTTTTTTTTTTTTTCATTTTTTTTTTCCTCTGGGCGAGGGAGTCCTTTTTTTGACACAAACTTATGTTGTTCTTTTACTGCATTCTTCACTGTTTTGCAGTTTTAGTGAAGGGTTTTCCACCTACCTTTGCATATTTTTGTACAGTCTTTTCAGCGCACCTGCACATTTTTGTCAAGGTGCAAGGTACGTCTAAGTAAGACTCTCACGACAGATAGGACAGCTATCATAAGCATGCGGGTGATGGTTGCAACCCTCCCGCTGATCTATAGGCAGAGGGCATGCTGCATCTGGATTGTGCCAGAACGGCTAGCATCAACCATACTTCTGAAGCATGCACCAACCTCTGAACCATAAGCAGGAGCCAGGACGGCTAGCATCAACCATACCTATGAAGCATGCAAGGCAGAGGGCATGCCGGTTGCAGGCCATCACGATTGTGGGGCGTTCACCATCACAGTTAAGTGCACATTCGCTATAGCGCCCCTAGGCACAAATGGGACATGCTGCATCTGGATGCAGAGGATGTTCACAATCCGGATACATGTGGCATCCCTGCCGACAGCGGGCCCAAAAAATTATACGTTGTAGTGATGTTGACAAAGTCGATGCTTTCCACAACCAAGTGTAACTATGTCATCACACAAAGGAGGTCACAAGGTGTTAGTGCAGCATGTGGGGGAATGAAGACTAAAGCAGGCACTGTGACAGGCATGAAGATAGGCACGGAGATAGACACAGAAACGGTTATGGCGACAGGTGCGGAGGCAGGCACAGAGACACGTGCAGAGGCGGAGACAGAAGTACACGAGGTACCCATAGGGCTAGTAACGTGGAAGGAGAAAGACACAGAAACAGGCACAGAGACAGGTACGGAGGCAGGCACAGAGACAGGCGTAGAGGCGGGCATGGATGTACATGAGGTACCCATAGGGTCAATGACCTGGAGCAGTTGCAGGTTAGGGTAATTACGCACGAGATCACAGATGGCAGTATGTATATATATATACCTGATGAGTTGGTGAAACTCCGACGAAACAGTTTGTCACAGCCCCTCGTTTGTTGTCCTCTTCTCCCTCTCTGCCTACGGTTTACCAGGCAGCTCTGTTTGACAATATATAATATATATATATATAATATATATATATATATATATTATATATCGTCACAAACAGATATATATATATATATATATATATATATATTGTCAAACAGAGCTGCCTGGTAAACCGTAGGCAGAGAGGGAGAAGAGGACAACAAACGAGGGGTATATATATTATATATATATATATATATTGTCACATAACTACGAACTAAAAGAGCGCACTTTGCGGAACAAAGAATAAAAGCAAAAAACAGGCACAGTGATAACATGCAAAAATAAAAATAAAAATAAAAATAAAAAACGTGGGCAGATTGAAACCATTAAATTTCTCATTCTTCTTTGAACTCCACCTCCACTGTGCCTCTCACGTGCAAGGCTCGCCACGTTGATGAAGTTGAGCGCGAGCTGCCCACATCCCCGTATGCCATAGCAGCCCACTTGCACGCTGTGAGAGAGGCAGAGTGAAGGGGAAGGTGTTAAACACAGGGAAAAGCTCAAGAATGAGGCTGTCCTTGACGACAGAAAGAACACACATTGTAAGGATGGGGTGGATGAGCGCATGGAAGACCTAACTGAGCATTCTCAAAACAACAACTGCCATATATATATATATGAAAATGTAGAGGACCTTAGATTCTGGGAGAACCCCTTGTTTCAGGTCCACTCATACACTAATGGAGCTCCGTCCAATTTGCATGGAGCAATGCCTACTGGCACCTGTGGCTAGCGCCCCACAAAATTCAGCACCTGAAAAGTCCATCTCGTTGCCACCCTCTCCACATGGAGCGAAAAAGGAAAGGACAAAAAAAAAGAGTAAGCAGTTTTTACACCAAGGTGACTTAGATCACCCAGGGCAGACTGTCAGGGTTCAACCTCCTGATGAATCTCTGAAAGTCCCATGGAACACTCTGCCTTGTGGAGTTGTGTATGGCGACCATGACAAAACCTGGAACAGTCTGCCTTGTGGAGTCGTGTATGGCGACCATGACATAACACACACACACACACACACACACACACACACACACACACACACAC